TCCTCCTTTCTCCTGTGAGCAGTGTGCCACACTCCAGGCTTCCATTGCCGATGCCGAGCAGCGTGGAGAGCTGGCTCTCAAAGATGCCAAGAACAAGCTGGCTGAGCTCGAGGACGCCCTGCAGAAGGCCAAACAGGACATGGCCCGTCAGCTTCGAGAGTACCAGGAGCTCATGAACGTCAAGCTGGCACTGGACATAGAGATCGCCACCTACAGGAAGCTGTTGGAGGGCGAGGAGTGCAGGTAGGTGCCCATCATAGCCCAATCAGATGATACCAGAACAAGGTAGTATGGGACAGAGGCCATGTGAGCTACTCACTACGATGCCCTTACACAGAAAGGCCAAGGTCAGATGTTTGCTATTCCTTCAGAGATTTCCTTCTCCAGATGCTTCTGGGCCTGGGCCAGCATCAGAGCTGTGAGGCAAAGGTAGCCACAATCTCCTAGAAGGCTCTGAGCAGGGACATTGTGACTAGGGCCTTATAACACTCACAAGTGCCATCGACCTCAGGGACAGTAAATCACCCAGACATGTCTTGTACTTTGCTCCAGTCTGCCTCATTGGCATGGGGTCTCAGTTTCTGTTTCCTTCCGTATCTTGACTTGATTCCTCCTCTAGGTTTCCCCTTCTGTGTTTTTGTTAGCTTCTAGAGCTTATGAGATAAATGCCAAGATTGCTAAACACGGCTTGGCACACAGCGTGTGTTCAGCACCGATGACATCATATGCAAGGGACCCGGAGCTCTCTAAGCCCTCAGCAATGGCATTCCTTCTCTTTCTATCTGCTACAGGCTCACTGGAGAAGGTGTTGGTGCCGTGAATATCTGTGAGTAAATGTCTTGGGAAGACAGAAGAATGGAGGGGGAGGAGAGGCAAATGGGAGTCCCTAGCATCCTTGAGATTTGAAAATGAACAACTAGGATGAATATGTCATTAATCCCCTCTCCTCTTTCCTTTGGTTTCCTTCCCTACTAGTGTCAAGAGCACTGAACATTCTCCATCTCTGGGGAAGGAGTCCAGGGTCTTTTTCTTATTCTGGGAAAATGTCCTCAGATACTGCAGAGGACCTCTTATACCTGAGAGACTGTGAGGTAGTCACATGTCCAGCCTAGCCTCAGAGGATCCTGCATAGGACAGGACTCCTCATGCAGCCAGGGTTCCTGGCTTTCAGCTATTCCAGCAGAAATATGGAGCTGTTTACAGACCTGTACCGAGTACATAGCCACTTACATAGACATGAAGGAAATTAGCTGAGCAAGTAGAACAGTCATCTCAACATGGCCTGGGCATCCAGGAGGAGACCAGAAGGAGTGATCTCTTGGTGACTTAGGTGGTACAGCAGCACTGAGTCCTGGTCCTGGAGATGAGAGCCCCTGGGCCTCTGCTGGGTCAGAGAACACCAGGGAAGCCAGAGCCTGTGGCTCTGTAGAGAAAGAATCAGGACAAGACTCACAAGAGGAACAGACTCCCAGAGGGAGGCCTGGCCACTGCTTCAAAAATTTAACAGTCGGGGACACAGAACTGAACTCACTATTGCTGAAGCATTAGGGCAGATGCTAACATGTCCAGCAACAAAGCTGAGGAGATTCGGATAGTTGGCAGGGAGATCTAGGTGGCCATTGGATCTGTCTATGGGGAGTCTAAAATCCCCATGCAAATTTGAGCCCTTATGATCCTTCCTATATGAGATTCCCAATAGAGAAAGGGACAACACAGCCCAGGTTCCTAAGACCTGGTCTCAGGCAGAGGTGACCTTGTACATGTTGCTTGATCTCTTTGCACCTCCATCTCTTCATCTGTAAACAGGGGGTCCCTGCCACAATATTATTACGTTGGGGGACCAGAACATCACAGCTGTGAAATTTTTGAAACTCACAGAGCCCCACATGGATGTTCACACTCAGGCAGGCAGTGAGACCTGAAGTCAGGTTCACCCTACCTCCTGCTGCTTCAGGAAGCAGCTATCTGTCCTCCCAGCTTCCCTGGGGAGGGAGCTGCCCAGTGCAAAGCACTGTGCAGAAGAGGCAGCCTGGAGAGTAGCGTGGGAGGGATGTCTAACAGCTGCCTTCTTCTTTCAGCCGTGGTCTCTTCCTCCGGGGGCACAGGCTACAGTGGAGGTGGTGGCCTGTGCATGAGTGGCGGCGGCGGCTATAGCGGAAGTGGCTACAGTGGGAGTGGCCTCTGCTATGGTGGCGGAGGCAGCGGAGGTTTTAGCTCCACCAGCGGTCGCAGTTTGAGCGGCAGCAGCTCAAGCATGCGAATTGTCTCCAAGACATCATCCACCAAGAAGAGTTACAGGAGCTAAAGTACCACACACCTTGGCACTGTCCCCGGGCCCCCAGCTCCCCAGCACTGAGGCCTGATGCTTAGCCCATGCCCACAGTCCCCCAGCAAGAGGCACGGATACCAAGTGGCCTGTGAGTTTTAAAGTTATCATCCTTCTGCCTCCAGGCAGGTCTCCACAGAGATACCCCACCCATGCTTGATCACAAAATCCTCCTTTACCCACACAGACTCAACTGCTGTAGGCTATACCTTTCCCTTTAAGCAGTGTATGTGTGTGGAGAGGGGGGTGCAGAAAGTCCTCCTCAATCTGCTTGGACCCTGCAACCACAAAAGGCTCTTAGTCCTTCATGGGAACTTTAAACTTGACCTTGGTGGCCCAAAGTCACCTTTCTTTGATTCCCAGTTTCTGAGTGACTCTGGGCTATGATAACCATGCATCCCTTGTCCTGGTGAAAAGAAGACTCTCTAATCCCTCAGGGAAGAGCCAGTCAGGAAGCTAGAAGAAAAAGGCAGATCTTTGCTGCTTGTTCTTGCTCTAGGGACACAGGGACGCTCCTGGTTGCATAGAGGGAGAGTGAGGTTATAGGAAAGAATTGCACAGAGGGTTTTGGGAACCTGGCTTTCACGGTGATTTAGTCTAAACAGTTGTGAGTCCTCAAATACCCGCTACAAGTTCAAGACCAAAATACTCCTCAAAGGCAACTGGTCCGTCTGCCACCGTGCAGTGTGGAAAAGAAAGTTAACAGCTTCGGAGTACCAGCGACACCTCCCGAGCTGTCCGCTCCCCTTATGTGTGCCTATTTCCTAGAACTGCTGCAATAAAGTGTCACTGAGCACCCATGGTCTTCACTGAGTGTGTTGTGTCTCACACCCAGCGGCAACCTCAGAAACGTGACCTCTGGGAACAGACGGTCCCACAAATGCAGTGAAGGACACTGCCCTCTACCCTGAGCCTGGGATTCCTGAGACCAACATCCGTCCTGGAGACAGAGGGAGGAGGGTGATAGCTCTGTGGCATCCACAGGGCTCAGCAATCCCTCGTGGCTCAGCCCATTACCCAGTCCTGTAGCATTACCACTATTCTTCACACCACTTCCTGGGCCCCATTATTCCCAGCTCCGCCTCCTAATACCCCAGCCCACTCTACCATCTGCCTCCCAACCTGACCTCTAATTACACCCTTCACTCTCAGACCCAAAGCTAAGAGGACAATTAAACAAGAATTCCCAAGACCCAAGACAGTTTTACATTCCAGTCTGCTGATGTACAGGTGGCAAGACAAGAGACACAGGCTCTGAACCCAGTCTTCATCCTCTGAAAACACAGAGCTCATGAGGGCAGTCAGAACAGGGTCCAAGCCCAGCTTTGTCACACCAGCTCCACATAGACTCCTTACTTCATGAGATTACAGATACAAAAGGCCCAGGGTGGTCTTGGATTGTAGTAAAGCTCCTAACCAACATGTCCACACTATGGGCTTGTGATCTGGACATAATCTAAGTAAGAGAGAGCGAGCCTTTTGGCCCATCAGGTGGGTGGAAAGGAGAGTAAAAGGTTGAGGAGGCTTTGAGTGTCTCCTGCTAAGAAAAAAGCTTGGATCCATCTGGAATATTCACAAGGACAATACTGTCCCCACAGACACCCCCAGGCCGGAGCAGGCCTCATCACCATCTGATGGGGAGCAGGGTGGTGCTGATGACAGAGCAGACTTCACGCTGTCATGCTTGGCAGGGGCACAGAGTGTAGGAGATGGTGTCATTTCCCTTCCTCTCCTCTCCCCTCCCCTTTCATCTCCATTCCTCTCTCTTCTCCTCTCCCCTCCTCTTCCCTCCTCTCTCCTCTCCTCCCCTTCCCTTCCCTCTCCTCTCCTGTCCTCTCTCCTCCCCTCCTCTCCCTTCTCCTCCCCTCCCTTCTACTCTGCTCCCCTCTCCTCCCCTTCCCTCCTCTCTCCTCCCCTCCCATCTCTTCCTCTCTCCTCCCCTCCTCTCTCCTCCCCTCCCCTCTCCTCTCTTCCCTTCTCCTCTCCTCTCCTCCCCTCTCCTCTCCTCCCCTCTCCTCATGCTCTGTCTCCCTTCCCAAGTAGGAGACTGTTTTGATGAGTGCTACTGATCCAGTATCTGTGCCTGGAGGACCCTGTGGCCCAGATGTGCAGGAGCATGAGGGCTTCCAGTGCAGGGACAAGGTGTGGTAAACCATGGGAGCTTCTTCCTCAATGGGTACATCTAAGAGTGTCTGGAAGCCCATGGAGTAGTGAGGTATCCATAGAAAGACACTGACATAGCCCTCTCATAAACGAAGTCTTTAAAATCTCTGTCCTGTCTCCATCTCAGGGAAATCCCCTTCGATGAACCACCCAAAGTCCCACTCTCCTGTCCCTGGAGGCTGAAGCACTGGATACAGCATCCATAAGTGCCTGGTTGGCCCCTTTCATCATTTCCATAAACAAGGAAGAAGGGACAAATGGACTTTTATGGGACCCCCCCTCCGGCATTGACCAGTGGCTCTGTCCTGCTCTTTGCTACCCTAATTTGCACCCTGTACCTAGCAGCTGCCAATACCCCAAGCTCATAAACCTGATTTTGTGGTGATTAGGGGTTTGGACCAGCCTAGTCCCCCTGCCTCCACCAAATAAAAGGGGAAAAGCTGATCCACGGTTCGATCAGTCCAGTCCCATTCTCCTTCCTCTCCAGGGATCCACCTCTGTCTCCCAAGCCATGTCATGCCGAAATTTCCAGTTGAGCTCCAGATGTAGCAACCGGAGTTTCAGCTCATGCTCGGCCATCACGCCCCGGATGGTCACCCACTATGAAGTAAGCAAGGGGTCTTGTCGACCCGGGGTTGGCGGGGGCCTCCGAGCCCTGGGGTGTCTTGGCTCTCGGAGCCTATGCAATGTGGGCCTCGGGAGACCCCGTGTGGCCTCCAGATGCAGCATGCCGGGCTTCGGGTACCGAGCCGGAGCCACCTGCGGCGGCTCTCCCGCCTGCATCACTCCTGTCACCATCAATGAGAGTCTGCTGGTCCCCCTGGAGCTGGAGATTGACCCAACGGTGCAAAGGGTGAAGAGAGACGAGAAGGAACAGATCAAGTGCCTGAATAACCGATTCGCATCCTTCATCAACAAGGTAGGGGCAGCCAGGGTGGGGGTGGGGAGAGAGCCGCTGCAGAGAGTATCCCGGATCTGTTCTGTCTTGGGAGGCACAGGAAGAGGCATTTGTCCATGGGCTTCTTGAGCATTCCATGACCGTTTGTCACTGAAAATACCTACTTCTCAGTCTAGACTAGCTTGAAACTTGCAGCACTCCTCCAGCCTCTGTCCCAGTACCTGGATTATGGGTGCGCATAACCACGCCCAATCCAAGCCCTTCTACACTTTTCATTTTCTAAGAATATTACCTTTCTCAGCATGTCATCTGACAAATCATCAAGGTTGTCAGAGAGCAGACTGTCAGAAAGACTTCCAAAGTCATATGAAAGGGATGGCAAAGGCTCTGGAGCTAACGGCCTTCCCCTTGAGGGATAAAACTGCCTCCTGTGTACCCAGGCTATTCCAAGACTCTTAGACCTGAAGGCAGAGATCATAAACACCATGAACCCCAAATTGTCCATCTGTTTAGGCCTGGGGTGAGGCAAAAGTGGAGCAGAGTTCAGAGCACAAGGTGGCTGTCACACAAGTTTTGCACTTGACAGCCCCCAAACCAAAGCTTTGGGAAGCTACAAGACAGAGTGACATGCTACCTTTAAGTAGCACTGAGCTTCCTGTCATCCCTAATTCCCCTGTCTTTAGGGTTTGTCTCTACACCCTAGAGACTCAGAATCCATGCCAAGCATTAGACTGTTGTTTCCGGAAACTCCAAGGAGTAGGGCAAACATCCCTGAGCCAAAGTCAGAAGCCCTGCATCCTGTCAGAGCCCACTCCTCTTACCCTGAATCTCTATGGAAGCTGCTCACAGCTCGGCCGTGGGGATTTTGCTGCCTGGTTTGGGGATGGACAGATGGTACAGTGGGATACTCAAAGGAGGTGATCTGTACAAAGGTGTCTGTGATGCCAGGCCATGGTAGTGCATGCCTGTAACACATGGGAGGTAGAGGTAAAAGGAACAGAGTTCAAGGTTATCCCCAGCTACATAGTGAGTGTAAGGCCAACCTGAAATACATAAGACCCTGTATCAACCCCCACTCCCAAAAAACACAGGCTAGTAGCATGGATCAAAGGGTAAAGGCAGTTGCTGCCAAGCCTGACCACCTGAGCTAGATCCCCAGAGGCCACATGGTGGAAGGACTTCCACATGTGTGCCATGACACGGCGGGGGGGGGGGGCCACGAAAGGAGCTAGTCCATCAACACTGCTTTACTTTTAAAGTCTGCTGTGTTCTGGCTATAAACACCCCATGAGGCGGACCTCAGCCATGAACTTCTATGAGGCAGCCGGTGTAGCTGTTGACCACAGTTAGAGGAACACCCCTTCAGCAGCTATCTTGAGAGGCCCTCTATGAGAACCCCATAGCAAGGCTCCAGATTATGCTCCGTGTGCCAGTGACTGGCACACAGGTGACCAGATCAACTCATGCAGCTGCTTTCAATCATGAATCCAACCCACAAAAATGCAAAAGGTGGAGCACAGCTCATCACTGGGAGTCTGTTTCCTTCAGATGCCGCCACGGAAAGTGGAGCAGCAGAGACAGAGTTAGCAGAGCTAGGGCACAACCCTTGACCTGACCTGACCTGTACCCTTGGACCCGGGCACTCGTGTGTGGGTGTTCTTATGGCACAGAGAAGCTCACAAGGGGAGCAGGCATGGTCCAGGTCATGGGGCTTCCAAGCAGCCAGCCAGAAAGCTGCATGTGGACTTCCCATGCATTTGATACAGCAGTCTTTCCACCCCAATATGGACCACTGAGGGGGAAGATGAGAATCCTTTAAGGGCCCTAAGGCCAAGGAGACACAAAGATACATCTCTTTGGGTGTTGGTCTCTGCAAAGACCTGGTGATGGTCTCTGGGTCCTTTCTTTATGGTGACACCCATTCTCGGGGCAGGTACGCTTCCTGGAACAGAAAAACAAGCTTCTGGAGACCAAGTGGAACTTTATGCAGCAGCAAAGAAGCTGCCAGAGCAACATGGAGCCACTCTTCGAGGGCTACATCTGCGCCCTGCGACGACAGCTGGACTGTGTGTCCGGGGACCACGGCAGACTGGAGACTGAGCTCTGCAGCCTCCAGGATGCACTGGAGGGTTATAAGAAAAAGTAAGTGGCCTCTCCCTCCACCCTGCAAAGGGACTAGAGCAAGCACGCTGCAGAGACAACTCAGACCCCAGTGTCCTCATCAAAGCAGGGACCTCAACGGCAAAACAATTATGCAGTGCAGAGTATCCATAGTATCACTCACGGTGGAAGCCCTGAAGTGTATCTTTGCCTCATCTCCCTTCCTTCCACCCTGCTTGAGTGAGGGCTTTGTTGAAAAAGTTCTCTCACTTGCCACTCACGGAGCCCCAAGTCTCTGCTCCAGCTACACTCCTAGTTGGGATTCCATTTTGCCAAACCCTTTACACACCAAGAACTACATCCTAGTCCCCTCACCATCCCCAGTGTTATTTCCGCCATGATTCTGTGCCTCCTCCTTCCTCCATTTGATGAGCCTCCTCTCAGGATCCCCCTCATCCCGATCCGGATGTCACAGCTCCCAACCTGTCTCTGACATCTGTCTTCCCAGTCATCCCCTAGACGGACCGTGGGCTTCTGTTGTCCGTCCCATCTCACCCACTCTCCAGAGGATGGGCCCTGAGCCTGCCACTCAATGTTAATGAAACAAAGACACCCCAGCTTGTAGGAGGCCCAGAGAACTTGTCACCTGGAGGATTCTGGGGGGGGGGTGTCTCTTCAGAGCCTCATGGAAATGTATAGGGTATGGGAAGAGAGATATACGTTTCCATTGAGGAGAAATGGTACAAGAAGATGGGGTGAGGAATCTGTCAGTAGAGTGGAGCCAGGCTGGAGACATGACTGTTAAGTGTCAACCGTTGGCCTTCTTGGTGACAGGTATTGTGCTAGGATGTAGTGTCCCAACCCTACCCCACGGCACTAAGAACCCTTTATGCTTACATGTAAATAGGTGCCAAGAAGAATCACAGAAGAGACAAGGGGCAGGGATATGGGACATGTTTGGACCATGACCTTAATAGATAATTCTTATTCCAGTAGACTCCTTCTTCCTCTTTCTCTTCCTCTTCCTCTTCCTCTTCCCCTCCCCTCCCCCTTCCTTCCCCCTCCCCTCCTTCTTCTCCTCTTCCTCCTCCTCCTCCTCCTTCTTCTTCTAAAAGATAACCAAAGCCTGGTATAGTGGTACATATCTTGTAATACCTGAACCCAGAAGGTTGAGACAGGAGGATTGTGAGTTCTGGGCTATCCTGAGCTACATAGCGAGTTCAAAGGTTACAGAGTAAGACTCTGTCTCAAAAATTCTTTTAATTTTTTATCTATTAATTGAGTGCCACAGTAGACTTGAAAAAAGGGAGGGAGGGAGGGAGGGAGGGAGGGAGGGAGGGAGGGAGGGAGGGCGAGCAGGTAACTGATGGGCAGGTTGTGGGAGTGAGCAGAGGCTAGGCTCAGGGGCCGTGACTTCCTTGAGAAGTACATAGCAAGGCAAGTTTAGACTGGTTCACAGCTCAAAATGAGATCTTTTGGTTTTAAATATGAGGTCGTTCTGGTACATCAACCACAGTGCAACCAACTCTTGCACAATGCTGATCCCAGCCAGCACACTATCAGAGGGCAGCATGGGTGTCAATGAACTCATCAGAGCCCTTTGAGGCAGGCCTGGGTTGCCCTCGATCTACTGGGGATATCCCTGTGAATAACAAGGCCTGTAAAGCTATTGGTCACCCAGTTTGGTTATGTCTAGTGTGTGACAAAGTGGGGATTTGAATTTAGACAGTAGCTCCAGACATCCTTGTCAAAGCTAGGCAGAGCTTTGCTGGACCAAAGAAAGATGGACACTATGAGCACAGGGCTGTTTCTCTCATGCACTGGCTCTTCTCGTCAAACAGTATCTGTAACCAGACTGAACCCTGACTCCCATTCCCATTCGGGTACGGTGTGTGGGCCGAGGAGCCCCCAGAAAGTGGGAGGGGTGCACCTGGGCTGTTTCTGTGCTCTGGTAAGTAGGTAATTGCTACCTCTACCGCTGAGCTTCAGGTGGGGGCCAGACATACCCTGCAGACAAGGAAGAGGTACAGGGTCATCTGGGAATCTACCTGGGACTACAGCCACCTCAAATGAGCTTGGGAGAGATGACCTGCTAGGAGCATGACCTTACGGAAATGGTTAGATGAGGAGGCTTCCTCCGCAGTGAGAGAATGAGGTAGTATTAAGGATCCTAGGGAGTGAATCATCACAGAAGCAGGCTACTGGTGGTGAGAAGGGGCAGGTTGAAAGGTAACTGAGGTGTTCGGGTGACAAGAGTCTCTTCAGAGGTAAAGAGCCACAAGAGTCTGGAGAGAAGGCTGGAACACGAGCCCACAGGTACAGTCAGTGCACCTGTGCACTGAGAGGACTCTTCCAAACTCTACGCCTTAACCAAAATGGTCTTCTCCCCATAGGTATGAAGAGGAACTGTCCCTGCGTCCCTGTGCTGAGAATGAGTTTGTCACCCTGAAGAAGGTGAGGTGATGCATAATGAAGCAAAGAATCTGGATACCAGCCTTATGGGTGTAGCCGTCCATGTCCCAAGACCACTTCCACAGATAGGCTCCTCTCCCTTGGTCTCTTGTGTTGACCCTGGAAAAGAATACCTGTCACCGTATTCAGCTCCACCCTGCCTAGAAATAGGGGTTGGCCTGATCTCCACATGTCCTTCCGCCACCCTATGAGGGATCTGAGCTGGAGAATGGCTATGAATCTACCCGCCCAAGCAACTGCCTGCCCCTGTGGCTGATGCCAAGTGAAAAACAAAACAATCAATGATTTAACTCCAGGCACAGAAACAATCGCCCAGTTCCTCAGCTGGGAATTGTGTGGTTCCAAGCTCCCCTGCATAGGAGCTGTGGGGAGCCTCTAGCACCTCTCCTCTTAGGTCCTCCCCATGGGGCTCAGGCCCGGCCTTTCCCCCTTCTTGACCCCATCTCCCTTTGCCTGCACCTGAGCTCAGAGAAGAGCCCTGAGCCCACAGCCATCCCTGCCATAAGCTTGCCCAGGAAGTGCTTGGCTAGTGTTGGGCGTGGCTCTGCCCCAGGAAGTGCTTGGCTAGTGTTGGGCGTGGCTCTGCCCCAGGAAGTGCTTGGCTAGTGTTGGGCGTGGCTCTGC